CAACATCGGGACGCTTTGGTTTGCTGTGGGCCCGGCATGTGTCAGGTTCCACTCGATGGACAGCGCTTCAACCTTGGGAAATCTTGGGAATGTCGGCATGAAGCTGCAAGGGCATGGTTTTCTTGGCTGGTGGCTACGCTGATGACAACGGCCATCGCCGCAGTCCCCATTTGCTTTCCGACTGCCGAAATGAGGACTACCATCTTGCCACTACCATGTGCATGCGAATCCGCTCTCATCACCACGACCGTCATGCTTGCAATCATCGGCAAGACCAACCCTGCATCATCCTCATGCTCAGCGTTTGCCACTTGCTTCTGGCATCTCCTGGTACTGCCACTCAAGCTGCCAGCATCGTCATCTCAGCGGCCTCATCATCGTCACGTCTTGCCGTCGCAGTTGTTCCGAAAGGCACGATGACAGCGGAGCAGGCAGCAGAGGCGGTGGGGTGAGCAAAAGCAGCAGCAGCAGCAGCACTCGTCTTCGTAGCCCAGTCAATCCAGTCACTAGTCCAGCCCTCGCCACCGTCGTAGCCTTGGAAGCTGCGGTGGTGGCAGTGGTCGTGCCAGTCGCAGTGGTGGACACGACGGCAACGGAACTCAGATGCAGTTGCGGCAGCCGCAGCAGCAAAACATGTCGTCGTAGCACAGTTCCTCGTCAAAGCGGTGATTGTAGTACCGTCGCTTGAGGAGGGCGACGAGGACGTGGAGGAGCAGAAGCAGCAGCAACAGCGGTGCCTGCAGCATCGATGGCAGTATGACGTACAAGCGGTGACGCTCACCACTGCAAACAGACGCCGTTACGGCAGTCGACAGTGAAAGTTTTCGTCGTCTTCGGCCGTCGTCTTGGCGGCGGCAGTCGAACTCTTCTGTAGTGGGAGAAATGGCGGCATTCATGGAAGTGCAAAGGCAGTAGCATGCAAGGGGAGTGGCAATGGTCGTAAGAGCAACAAGTCAGCAGTAGCAAGGCCGGGAACACAAGAAACAAACGCAACACTAACACTGTATGCAAAACCAACCCACAACCTCTCAGAACAATCAGACAGGCAACCCACAAAGCAACAGTCAGACGAAGCTGGCGACCCCGACCACAACTACAGCGGTGGAAGCAACAGCACGAACAACCGGCATGTAACAGCGGAAGCTGCCACTGCAGCAAAAAGGAGAACCAGCCAGCATTTAGCAGTGGCCACCTGCGTATTGTAAAGGCGAGGGCCTAATCAAGCAGTCGTCAGCTACTAGTTGAAATCCAACCTGGCCTGAAACCAATAAACTCTGTAAGCTGCCATTCAACTTATATCTGTCAATGCTAGGCAACATATTTTGGAAGCTGGGCGGGCACCAGCTGTAACAGGCATACTTACGACATGACCAGAGCCACAAAGCAACGGTAACAACAAGCAGAAACAAGCGAAGCTCAACAATCGCTGAATCATGTGGGTAGACTGAGGGCATGTCAACACAGAGCCTTAAACTTAAACCCACGTTCTGAGATCTGCAGAAGGGCCCGCGTGTCGGGCTCGTATGGTTTATTCGTACCGCGGAAGTCCGAAGCTCGGGGCCGTCTGTCGAGTCTTGTGCCGGGGAATCGGCCTCTGGCACTTCCAATGTTTTGCCCTTGAACTCGCCATTCTCAATCTCCTGTGGGGGAGTTCTACCGCTTGGGTTTCCTCCCGACCTTGTGGCTTAGAAATGAAACTTACCTCCAAGCCCCAAAATAAACACAACCGGCAGCCCAAAAGCGACAACGGCTAGAAAATCACGAACCCCATGAAGTCTGGGGCCCATGCGGCTACACTTGGAGTGTTGCTCTTGTTGTGGCTTTAGGAATTACAGTAATAAGGGTGTATGTGGCTCAAACAAGAAGTATTGGTCGTTCTGCATACGGGCGATGACGAAGGCTGGTACATAAACTGAGGCTCTTGTCTTTCATTGGCAACACGTGGTTCCTTCAATCTGGACCTTCCCAAATCTCGAAGCCCCGCAACCCAAATGACGAAACATTCTGAATGCAAGTCCTGTTGCATCGTCTAAGCCCAACACCAGTCCCTTCATAGCCGAACCTCAAGAGTCCCAAACCTCTTTTGGACCCCAATGCCGTAAACTAGAGGCCTCCAACTTCATCTCGAGGTAGCCTTTCGGATCTCCCATGTCTTCCAACCTCGTCGTTTTGGGTTCAGGGCTTGGGGTGCCCGCTTCCACGACGAGTCCGACTAGTCACCCTAGTCCTGAAAGGGCCACTCATGGCAAAGTGGGCCCCGACGCGTTTCGGTCACCCCGAAAAGGGCTCCAGTCTTTACTATCAGGCCGTGTCAGCCCGTGTCGATGCTTGTCCATTAAATGTGTTCTTCCTTTCGGTTTGGGCCAGAGGCTTCCGACAGGTTTCCCACAAGCAATGGCGAAGCACACTAGGAGTACAGAGTGTTTTTTACCGTAAGCTCCACCGCGACCGCCGTCGAAACATTGGGATCATGCCAATCGGGCCATTTAAGGAAGCCGGCCGTTGCTGAGTCCCTGAGTCCCTCTTTCCGTTGTGCTGGGACCGTGACAGCTCGTCCAGCTTCAGGAGCACGCTCTCTTTGGTGTCCCTCTTCTTCATGATCTCCTGAGGTGCTGTAGTGTGCTGTCGGCAACCCTGAGGAGTAACATCAGAAGTTGAATATAGACAGAATAAGAGAAGAGAGGCATCAACAGGTACAGGAGTCTTTGCAATCAACTTCATGCCAGTCCTCATTGAGCCGCTTCAATAAAGCCCTGTCATTGATCTTGTGCTTGTCCATGAATGCCTTCGCCGAGAGTTGGGTGGATGTGCAACCGCCGAATAGAAGACCTCCTACCGAGAGCCGCCTTCACGTCTTGGTCAATGGGTGGCTCCCGGTCCTTAGGGTGCCGATCGCAACACACTGCGGCAACCTCGCGGCTTTCTGTTGTGGGCGAGGCCGCAGCACGAGCCGCAGCTACATTGAATGCTCCGCACCACATCGCACCGCGTGACGAACCGGAGCTGAGACAACCACGCCGAACTTCAAGTTCAGGAAATCCTCACGGCAGCTCTCCGCATGCTCACTATGTTTTAGACAAAATGACTGCTGCTGTGGACGTTTGACAGGTGCGGGTGCAGGAATCTCAGCATCCCAGAACCATGGACCATACAACTATCTGATTATCGGAATCTAAGTTTGGGGTCCGTCGCCATGCCGCTTGTCGCAACGGTAGAGCTTAACGTTTTTTGTCCTTCGGGCATCTTCGGGCGTCTTCGGGCTCCGGCTGGTACGACCATTCCTGTTCGCCTTTGGCGGATAAGACGAAGATGAGCGAGGAGGGAAAATGAAAGAGGCAGAGGTTCAGTCGGCCCCAGAGCTAGGCTGGAAAGCCGGAGGAACCTAGGGCGACTCGATCAGCCTATAAGAGGCGGAAAGAGTCTGCCCAAGTCTTGGCCAGGAAGGCAATCATCTCTTCCAGGTCCACCGTGCCATCGCCATTGGCGTCCATGGCATCGAAAAGTGCGGTGATCGTCTCAGGTTGAATGCTGGCTGGAGCACACTCCTCGAAGGCAGCCAGGAGCTCCTGCAGGTCTAAGGCGCCGCTGTTGTCCTTGTCGAACAGCGCAAACGCCTCTCGCAGATCTTCTAGACCTGGCAGGCCAGCTGATTTCACTGCTCCCAAGTACAACTCTACGAAGTCTTTGTGCGACATCTCTTCTGGGACGCGCTTTAGAACCTCCTCTGCAGCATCGGGCAGGATGTCAAAGAGCTGTCCAAGAACCTTCCGAAGGTTGGCTAGGGAGACACTGCCAGTGCCGTCGTAGTCGTAAAGCTTGAAGGCACTGTCCAGCTGCCGCTGATTCAAGGGAACCTGGGACTCTTTGCCCGCCATGTTGCGGAACCACTCACGCGCCAGCTGCCGCGATGTGTGCAACTTGCTCCTGCACCGGAACTGTGCCACGATGGGCACATGATCGGATGGCTGCTCATCACTGGGGATCGGCTGCTCCAAAGAGATGTCTGGGATCTCGTGGACATCCACCAGCTCCAAACACTGCGCTTGGTAGAGAATGGCATCAATCCGCATGCATCGGGCCATGGTGACACTCGTAACTCCCGTGGGTGCATCAGAGCAGTCGAAGGTGAAGGGGTGAAGCCGCACCTCCCGGTTAAGCAGAGAGATAGTGTTGGCAACTCCACGAAGCCGGCCGAAGGAGGTGCAGTTCAGGTCCCCGGTCAGGATCACGGGTGCCTCTGCGACCCCCGAGGAAGGTGGGAAGGAGTACACAAAGTCGGCCAGCACCCGTAGCACCTGACCAACCTGCCGAGCCCGTAGCATGTCCTGCTTGGGATCTTCGGGGTTGCGCTGGAGATGCGTAGAAACCAAGATGACCTTCTGCCCGGTGATCTTGGACTGCAAGAGCGCCACCACAGCGATGCGGTCCTTGAAGACCTTTTGCCGAACAGGGCAGAGCTTGTCGACAAACTCAACCGCCGTTGCCTGCACCAGGTCAAACAAGCAGCGCCGCCATGCCACGCAACAACCGTCGTCGCTTGTCGGTCGAGGCCGCTTGCGCCAGGTGGAGTCGTAGCCCAACTTCTCCAGCGCCGGCCGGAAGTGGTCGTCGTAGTGGTCGCACTCCACCAGAGACAGCAAATCGCAGTCCATCTCACGGATCTGGTCGAGCAGACGGTCCTTTCGCACCTCCCACGCGAAGCAACGGTGGTGTGTCTCCTCCACAGTTTGAATCTCCTCCGGCGTCAGAACGCCCTTCACATAGTTGGGCCATCCTGGGTTGGCCGGCTTTCCATCTGGGAGCCTTTCCCCGTGCAACCTGAGAATCTCTTTCCTTCGTTCCGGAGGCATGTCTACACCGTACAAAAACCAAGGCTCCATGTTGCTTCCCATGTAGCCGGCCAGGATGTTATACTGACCCACCGTGAACTCCAAGGGCTGTCGCCGGAGGACGCGCTGGAGAGCCTGGAGCTGCTCCTGCGTCTCCTGCAGGCTCGGGCTCGGGGCCTCGACGGGGGCGCTGCGTTGCGATGCCGCCGCGGATTGCAGGGATGCAAGAAATGCCTGATAATCGGTGGAAGAGCCCACGGCGAAGTCTTGCAAGAGAATCTCCCAGTCCTCGGCCTGCTTCGGCAAAACCCGGCACAACACTTGGCGCAACTGGCACGTGGGGATTAGGTTGGTCTTCTGCGGGTCAAACCGGGCCAGCAGGTCACGCAAGGCGCCGAAGGCCTCATGCACGTCCATGGCCTTCGAGTACTAAAGGGGTGTTGGGCTCTCCTCAGAGCCTGCACATGCCAAGTCCAAGTGCATGTGCTCTACAACCAAGCTTTATAATATTTATATAGGGTTCAGGATCGATAAGCTCTATAACGCCGGGTCTTAGGCATCTTCGCACTGTAGGCAGTCCACGACTTTCAAATGCCAAGACCCGATATCGAACCTTCGAGATTATGAAGAGAACGATCATCGAACAGCAGTGCAAAACTGGTGGCATAACAAGAGCGAACTGTCCTTCTTCACCTCTTCGACTTTGGCCTTTGATGGTGTCGGAGGCCTGGATGACGCCGTCACCCTTAGGATTCCATGCTCGACACAAAAAGCCCGAGCCGACTGCAAGGAGCTGAGGCTCGGACCCTGCGTTGGGCATCATGCCCGGCATTCCCATCATGCCCGGCATTCCCATGGGCATCATGCCCGGCATCATACCAGGCATCATGCCGGGCATCATTGGCATCATCGGACGCATGCCGCCCATCATCGGGGCGGTCGGCATCATCCCCGGCATGCCGGGGGGCACACCTCATACGGCAGAGCTCCACGATGACAATTCGAGCGCTGCACCCTGCACCATTAGCCGTCATTAGCCCTGCATGAGTTGAGATCCTACGATGCAACGTGGACCTCAATGCCACCAGAAAACTCGTTCCAGACCCTGCCGAAGCAGCTGAAGCAACACTGTATGGTTTCAAAATGCCGTTCGGCTGTTGTCCTTAAGCGCTATATGCAAGCTTCAACAAATGAGCCTGCATCCTAGAACCATACATCGTCATGCTAGCATCTTCGAGAGATGAGACACACTATCAACACCAAAGTTTTTACCGAAACACGGAGCTGGAATTCCGAAAGGGATTCTAAACCCCAGACACTCAGAAGCCCAAACTTGCCTGGCATCCCGGGGGCACCCCCGGGGCGCTGCGGCAGTCCTCTGAGCAGTTTTATTTTATCGGCAGGTGCGCAACTAAGGCTTTGGGCTCCAGGATTGAAGGGTCCTCCCCTTCTGGGTTTGCAAGTTCCGACTTGTTTTTTGTTGGGTTTTGCATCTGTGCCTACGCACCCGCCGGCTCATCGCAGGTAAACCTTGTACCCAGGACGTACGATTGAAAGTCCCGAGATTCTCGTAAAGATGTCAGTACACGCGACTACACCCTGCCAAACCCAAACCGCTGGACCTCAACCCTAAATGCTGCCGCCTTGCTACGCGATGTTGCTCAGCTGTTGAAGGCCTGGGGCCTAATCCAGGCGTGGAGTTCCAGGCACAGGCACAACTTGAAGCTCCTACGGTTGAAGCCGCTACACACAACATCCGAACGTCCAGGATCTCGAAGTCGTCTTGGGTGCAGAGGTCTGCTGATGTTCTCACCCGAATAGCCATGAAGTCTCAGACCGAAACGATTAAATCTGGACCCAAAATACTGTTGGTGACTATCAAAGGGCTGGGATGTCCCGCAATTCCCCCAATACGCCAAGAAAGTGGGGATATCACACCCACTTCTGGTTCCTGATGGGCTTCCTACAGTCTTGAGCCTTGTGCTGAGGTTCGGCATTTCCTAATTGCTTATAAGACTCCTAGAGTACTGCCGCGACTGCGTCTCCAAACTTCAAGTGAGGAGTCGTTCCTTGGCGACTGCAAGAAGTTGATGAGGATCATTCTTTTTGGAGTGTTCATGCCAGGCAGGCTTCCGTCCTCCTGGAAACATGGCGAAGTCTGGATCCTTCGCCCACCAGCGCTGCTGAGCCAATGTCGGGACGAGAGGATCACAGATTTGACAGTTCGGGGCTCATGGGAAAAGCAGCAAGCATGTTCGCTTTTTCGAGTCCCCTCCATTCGCCGGAGTGCAGTCAGCAACTATATGTCCGGATTACCGGAAATGCCGGGTGAATAGACTCTGGATTCAGAGACCCTGAGACGAAGGTGTGTACAAAGGCCGATATAATCCGAATGTCAGTCCACAATCCTACGCATGCTGGACATACTCAACCCATAAACCCAAACCAGCCCCCAACCAGCCCCCAACAACAACCCACACACTCGTATAGCCCTTATAAACCTCGTACAAAAAAAGACCAAGCTTGTGCCATCTTCAGCCACACACAGCAGCCTTGCAGCCCCGTCTCCACAGGTAGCAAGATCCCAGCTGGCCTCGGTCTGTGGTTGCTTCATTTTTGCTCGTTGAAAACGCCAAGAGTTTTTTGGGCGTTTCCTTGCTTTCCGCATTGGTTCCGCGAGGCAAGGTAACAAAAAGAAAATGGATACAGGTGGTCTCAGCCCGAAATTCCGGCTGGCCCAATTCATCGGCAATGCTAAGGCGCACACCGTTTGGGCATGGAGTTGCATGCAAGTCACATAGAAATTATTTGCTCTTCATAAACGATCCTCGCGTATCCCAGGGATCTTGAAATCCGAAAGCCCTGACTCCGAGCATCGGCAGCGGGCCTTTGGTATCTAACAAGTGATTTACTGCACTTCGAGACCTTCGCCACCATTCCATCACGGGCAGAGCATGGCACGAGTCAGCAACAGTCACGAGAAAAGGCAGGACGCCCTTAAAGGACCGAGAAGCTTCAGCACCTATGGTTGAAAAAATTCGGTTGGGGTACAAGGCATTATGTGAAAGGTCTTAAGGCCTCAGGGGATCAGGGACTCAGGGGTTCGGTTAGGCTTGAGCGGTTGAGGTTTTTTCCGGAATCAACACGTGCGTCACGACCCAAACAACCTCAAAGCCTCCCCCTCCCTCTCCCTTCTCCCTCTCCCTTCTCCCTCTCCCTCTCGCTCTCCCTCTGCCTCTCCCTCTCCCTCTCCGTCTCTCTCGCTCTCTCTCTTTCTCTCTCTCTCTCTCTCTCTCTCTCTCTCTCTCTCTCTCGCTCGCTCTACCTACCAGACAGGGGCGGTCCATCACCCCACTCCGCGCACGAGTGCGCACCCGCGGTTCATGGGGTGTCTGACTCTCCCCCCTTTGGGCATTGTCCAAAACGGGCTCGGCTGGACAGAAAAGAGACTGGCAGGGTTCTCGGAAAGTAAGATCCGTCCGTCTCCCCCGCCCAGCGAATGAGGCGTCCTTGGTCTTCACCAACAGGTTCGTTGGCTCGCAGGCTCGCCTTATCCTTCCAGTAGCAGTTGACAAGCCCCCGGCCCGCCTCGACCAGAGATTTTGTTCTGGACCGTCCTTTACGATCTCCCCCTCCCGGACCTGCGGCTGGAAGAACGCGGACTAGCCCTCGTTGTTGTAGCAATCGCGTCGGAGCGGGGGAATTTGGATTCGAGGTTAGCTCCGAAATCCCCCGGGTCTGACTTGGCAAGCAAGGAAAGAGAGAGAAGAAAGAGAAAGGGGCGGGAGCCTCCCCGGTCTCTTGAACCACTGACCCCTCTCTCTCTCTCTCTCTCTCTCTCTCTCTCTCTTGCTTGATTGCTGGGCGTTTGGGGCGTGGGGTTCCCCCACAACCCCTGCGCACTCGCGCTACGCCTCTGTCCGTTGTCCAGTGGTCGGCGTGAAACTGCCGAAGGGTATCAGCACTGTGGACCAAGCTCTTTCCGTAACAAGTCCTATTACACAACATGACCCTGCAAGTAGAACGCCCCGCGTGGTCCTCTTGGTGCGTGCTGACCCCTTCTCTGTGCTGTTCTCACCAGCCGGGCTCCGAGCATTGTCGGTTCTGGCCCAGCTCTCTCTCTCTCTCTCTCCCTCTCCCTCTCCCTCTCCTTCTCTCTCCACACGGCAGGATGTGTTTCCGTAGTGATGGGGTTTTTCGTTTAAGCTCGGTAGCAACCACGCACTCCAGCAATCACAAGCCCCAAATTTTGCAACACACAATCTAATAACGACTCCTGAAAGTGTCTCAGGTGGAAACCCCCAAGGCCAAATCTTCTGTTGGATCGTTTGAGAAACACATTAAAGCCCGTGACCTGCGAAAATCATCAGCCACCTGTCCTATGTAAATTGGGCAAGTCGCTGTCGTCGCTATCGGATTCCGAATCGGTATCCAGCAGGTTCTCCATCACATCCTTCCGAGATTCACCGCTTATCTTATATATGGCTACGGTGTACAGCTTTAGGGTCGTACAACGGCATGCTCAAACAACAATGAAGAGCACTCGGAGGAGGTAGTTGGCTCGGGGCACTGGTCAAAACCACAACGTCTCCAAAACTTGAGAGCATCGAGGCCGACTCACACGCAGCTCTCCTTGCTCGCTACCCTCTGCTCGGAACACTTCGGTTTCGACGCCGCAGTCGGCCCAAAGCATTGCAAACACTGGCGGACGAGCTCAGGACACGACCTGATGCCGTCAAGCCCGGCCCGGCGGGACATATGGTCAAGGCACCGACAGCCGACAGCATCGACTGAAAGCCTGGTAGTGCACTTGGCGGCGACTTGCAGGAATTCGGAGGAGCTTGTAAAGCGCTTCAGTGCCGAAAGGCTGCGAATGCGGAGTGGAACGCGACCTTGCGAAGGGCCGGGCGAGGCCGCAGGCGAGCGGTGGACACACGTCAGCGAAGGCGTTCGCAGCGCAACGATGCAGCCCACGCAGACTGCAAACATCGGAGCAGGCATTTCCCTTGGCAAAACAAGCTGCTGCACCGGAACACGGGGACGTCAGCGGTGACGGCGACAGCAACAGCAACTGCAGCAACCTGTCACTTCCGCAGTACATGTTAGCCAGCAGAAAACACTTATGAACAAACGAGTGGTCAAACTACTGTTTGAAACAATTGTGGTGCCTATCGTCACCAGCTCAGCTACTTTTGGTTCTTTCACTGAACAGGTCGGATTGCAACGGCGAGCTCCCCTGAAGCCTGTTTAAGCAAGAAAGCCTAATCCTACCATCATCAGCAGCATAAGCTGCGGATAGTTACAGAAAAGACCTCGCGTGTCGCGATCTCAAAGCCGAACACCAACCCCTTACGGAAACCCTGAACCAAAACCTAAAGCACCGCCTCTGGCAACGGGAACTCGAGCTCCATGTCCTC